ATTTCTGATTCCGTTTGTGTGAGTAGACTCTCTTTATTTCTTGATAAGTCTGGCCAGGGGTTTATCTATTTTATTTATTTTCTCAAAGAAGTAGCTCCTGCTTTCATTGATTCTTTCTATTGTTTTATTCTTCTCAATTTTATTTATTTCTTGTCTAATCTTTATTATGTCCCACCTTCTACTGACTTTGGGCCTCATGTGTTCTTCTTTTTCTAGTTTCAATTAATTGTGAGTTTGGACTGCTCATATGGGATTGTTCTTCTTTCCTCAGTGTTGACGGCTGCTGACTGATCAGGATGATCAGTTTGCTGAAGATTGGGGTGGCAGTGGCAATTTCTTAGCTTTAGATGACAGTGAAGTTTGCCTGATTGATCGACTTTTCCTTTCATGGACGATTTCTCTGTTGTATATGATGGCATTGGTGGCATTTTACCAACATGATAACTTCTTTCAAAATTGGAGTCAGTCTTCAAACCCTGCTGCTGCTTTATCTTAAGTTTATGTAATAATTTAAAAAATCCTTTGTTGTCATTTCAGCAATCTTCACAGCATCTTCACGGGGAATAGTTTCCACCTATAGAAGCCATTTTCTTAGTTCATCCATATGAAGCAGCTCCTTATCCATTCAAGTTTTATCATGAGATTGCAGCAATTCAGTCACATCTTCAGGCCCCTCTTCTAATTCTAGTTCTCTTGATATTTCCACCACATCTGCAGTTACTTCTTCCATGGAAGCTTTGAACACCTCAAAGGGTTGGAATCAACCTTTTGCAAACTTCTGTTAATGCTGATATTTTGACCTCTTCCCATGAATCATGAATGTTCTTAATGACATCTAGAATGCTGAATCCTTACCAGAAGGTTTTCGATTTTCATTGCCTAGTTATATCAGGGGAATCACTTTCTAAGGCAGCTATAGCCTTATGAAATGTGTTTCCTAAATAATAAGACTTCAAAATCAAAATAACTCCTTGATCCATGGGCTGCAGAATGGATGTTCTGTTAGCAGTCATGAAAATAACATTAATCTCATTGTACATCTCCATCAGAGCTCTTGGGTGACCAGGTGCATTGTCAGTGAGCAGTAATATTTTGAAAGGAATCTTTTTCTGAGCAGTAGGTTTCACCAGTGGGCTTAAAATATTTAGTAGATCATGTTGTAAACAGATGTACTGTCATCCAAGCTTTATTATTCCATTTATAGAGCACAGGCAGAGTAGATTTATAGCATAATTCTTTAGGGCCCTAGGCTTTTTGGAATGGTAAATGACCACTGGCTTCAACTTAAAGTCACAAGCTGCATTAGTCCCACACAAAGTCTTGGGTAGAGACACCCAGAGAATCAGATGGATTAGTGGAAGAACAGAGGGATGACTAGGTGACTAGATACATGCTAAAGCAGTTATAATAAATTGTTAACAGTAAAATATAGCAATTCCATTCCTAGATATCTACCCAAGAGAAATGAAAACATATGTCCACAATGAGTCATTTGAAAATGTTCACAATAGCCCAAAGTTGGTAATAATTTAAATGTCCATCAACTGGTGAGTGGATAAACAAAATGTGGTATATATTCATATGATGGAATGTACTCAGCAATAAAAAGGAACAAAATCCTGATGCATGCTACAACATAGGCAAACCTCATGGAAGAAACCAAATACAAATAACTACATATTGTATGATTCCATTTATATGAAGTTTCTATAAAGAGCAAAACAATAGGGACAGAAACCAAATCAATAGTTATCCAAGACTGAGGGTGGAAGCAAGAATTAGCTGCAAATGGCATGAAGGAACTTTTGGGGGATGAGAGAAATGTTCTAAAACTGGATTGTGGTGATGGTTGCATAGCTGTAAGAGTGTTACAGTTTTAGATCTTAAGTTTAAGTTAATTCATTTTGAATTAATTTTCTGAATTATTTTTTGTATATGGTGTGAGGTAAAAGTCCAACTTAATTTTTTTTTTCTTTTTTGGCCTGTAGATATCCTGTTTTCCTAAAATACTTTGTTGAAGAGACTGACCTTTCTCCCATTGAGTGATCTTGGCCACCCTTGTCAAAAATCAACTGGCCATAGATGGGAGGATTTATTCTGGCCTCTCAAGTTTATTCCTTTGGTCTATATATCTATCCTATGCTAGTACCACACTGTTCTGACAACTGTAGCTTTATAGTAACTTCCTTTAATTTGTTCCTTTTCAAACTTGTTTTGGCTATTCAGGGTCCTTTGAAATTCCATGTTAATCTTAGGATGGGGTTTTCCATTTTTGAAAAAAAAAAAAAAAAGGCAAAAAAATGCCATTGGGCTTTTGATATGGATTACATTGAATCTGTATATAAGTTTTCCAGCCCATGAACATGGCATGTTTTTCCAATTTTTTAGGTCTTCTTTACTTTCTTTCAGCAATGTTTTGTAGTTTTCAGTGTGTATCCTTACTTAACTTTATTTCTAAGTATTTTCTTTTTGATACTATTTTAAATGGAATTGTTTTCTTAATTTCCTTTTTGGACTGTTCATTGCTAGTATATGAAAATGCAGATTAGTTTTATGCATTGATTTTGTATCCTGCAACTTGGCTCACTTCATTTATTAGCCCAAGTGTGTGTGTGTGTGTGTGTGTATGTGTCTGTCTGTCTGTATTCTTAGGGTTTTCTACAGATAAGATAATGTCTTTGTATAGAGATTAACTTTACTTCTTCCTTTCCAATTTGGATATCTTTTATTTCATTTTCTTGCCTAATTGCTCTGGCTAAAACTTCCAGTACCATATTAAAGAGAAGTGGTGAAAACAGGCATCCGTGTCTTTTTCCTGATGTTAGGGAAGAAGCTTTCAGTCTTATACCATTAAACATGGTGTTAGCTGTGGGGCTTTTTTTGTATATGGCCTTTATCATGTTGAGGAAATTCCCCTCTATTCTTATTTTGTTGAGTGTTTTTATCATGAAAGAATGTTGGGTTTTGTCAGATAATTTTTCCATACCAGTTAAAATGGTCATGTGGGTTTTTCCCCTTCATTCTATTAATGTGGTATCTTACATTGATTAATTTTCATATGTTGAACTAACCTTTTATTCCTGAGACAATTCCAGTTGGGCATGATTATAATCCTTTTAATGTGCTGCTGAATTTCGTTTGCTAGTATTTTGATGAGATACTTGCATCTATATTCATAAGGGATATTGGTCTACAATTTTCTTCTAGTGTCTTTGCCTAGCTTTGGTATCAAAGTAATAGTAGAACAACACAATTCCAAGGTAATAGGAGAGTAACACAATTCCAAGTTTGACTTAAAAGATAAATACTCTTTGTGTTGTATGCAGAGAAAGACAGAATATTTTATATTCACAAGTAGAGAATACCTGTTTTTTAATTACCCAAAGAGCATTTATAAAAGTGCATCATATATGTAAAGATCTCTGTAAATTACCAAAATTCTCTTAAGAAAATGTAACAAAATAAAAAAAGTCCTAAAATGATTTTTAAAAAATCACTTGAAATTCTAAAACCACCTTTCCAAGACACTCATTTCAAAGAAGAAATAAAAATCTATTCATAAAATAGTAAGTGAAAACACTACTTAGTATGCTAACAAAACTCTTTCTTAGAGGAAAATTTATATAATTAAATATTTTTTATTAGAAACCAAAAAAGAAAAACTAAATATTCACTTTATATTAGTTAAGGATCTTTGCAAAAACACAGAAATTAACTCAGATAAAACAGAAAAAAATTAAATTTTGGTCCAGTTCACAGCATTGAAAGAGAAAGCGGAAAAACCAGTTCCAAAAGGGGCAGGAAACCCACGTGGCTCTGGGGTTGCTTCCTGAACCATATAACAGAAAGCAGTGAATCAGCTATAGGATGAATCAGCTACTAGATAAATCAGCTACAGCTGTTTCCAGTCTTATCATTTTGCTTAAGATTTTGTTGCCATGGAGAGAACATAAAATTGGCCTAGGTCAGGTTTCATGTCTATTTTTTAATCTAGAAAACTTCAGTGAATCTTCATTCATCTTTCACCAAATAGTTTCCAGTAGGGAAAGGTTAGTTCCTCAAGAAAAATTAGGGTAGTTTATCAGAAGAAGGGGCAATTGATATGGAATAGCAAAAACAAGAAATTGTCCATTACTCATTTTCAGGAGCTAGATTTTTGCTAGAATGTTCACTATAGCACTTATTTATAGTACCAAAAAGCTATGAGTTCTCAGTGTTAACTGAATGGCTAAATAAAATATAGCACAGTTAAGATGGTCTATGATGCAGCCATTACATAATCATGTTTTGGATTAATATTTAAAGATTGAAAAAACTCACTGTGGAAAAATAGAATAAAATGTTTATGTAAAGACACTATGAATTAAGTTTAGTTTCAAAGTTTTATTTATGTATGTAACCAATACCTGAACAAAATGCACCAAAATACAAATTCTTTGTGTGTGCGTGTGCCACATCCTAATACCCGAACCTATGAAAATAACTATATTTGGAAAAAAGATCTTTGTAGATGTAAATGTAATTAAACTAATGATTTTGAGATGAGATTTTCCTGGATCATCCTCAGAGGCCCTAAATTCAATGACCAGTGTTGTTAGAAGAGAAGAAGAGAAGACACAGAGAAGGCCGTGGCCATGTGAGGACAGAGATCAGATGATGCAGCCACAAGCCAAGGAATGCCTGGAGCTACCAGAAGCTGGAAGAGGAAAGAAATCATTCTCTCCTGAAGCCTCTGAAGGGAGTGCAGCCCTGCTAACACCTTGATTTTAGAATTTTTCTCGCTAAGTTGTTTTAAGCCACCCAGTTTGTAATTTGTTACAGTAGCCTTAGGAAACATATATATGTGTGTGTGTGTGTGTATATATATATATATATATATAACAGTAATCTCTCTATATATAGGTAGATAAGGTATATTTCCCTAAAATTTCTATTGAAAAGTATACTGTTTTAAAATGTGGATACAGTGTCCTCCCTTATCCACGGTTTTGCTTTCATGGCTTCAACTATCTGTGGCCACCTGCAGCCTGGAAGCAGATATCTGCCTTCTGACAAAATGTTATAAGGTCAATAGCAGCCTAAGGCTAAGTCACAATGCCTAGGTCATTCATGTCACTTTATCACGCAGGTATTTTATCATCTCACATAATCACAAGAAGGGTGTGTCCAGTACAATAAGATATTCTGAGAGAGAGAGACCACATTCACACAACTTTTATTATAATATATTGTTATAATTGCTCTGTTTTATTATTAGTTATTGTTAATTTTCTACTCTGCCTAATTTATAAATTAAACTATCATAGATGTGTATGTGTAGAGAAAAAACAGTATATATAGGGTTCAACACTATCAAGTTTTCAGGCAACTAAAACTTGCCTGGAAGTTTTAGGGGGTCCTGAAACACATCCCCTGCAGATCACGGTATAAAGAAGGCTCGCAAATTTAATGTCAGACGAAATAAGACTTAAGCAAAAACATTAAATGTGCCTATATTCTCATGGGCAAATTCTCTGTAAGAATGCTGACCACTGTGACTCAGGGAACCCCTCCAGCCCATTGTCCAGTTCACTGTTTTGAACGCCTAGGCCCTTGTGCTGTCTTCGCACATCCTTTGGGCATCTATTTATGGCTCCTTCCCACCTCCTTCCTTTTGCTTGGGTGTTGGGCTTGGCTGGGTGGACTGGTTTCTGGTTGCATCTCGCTGGTCTCTAACACAGCCTTGGTTTCTGCCCTCTCTGACCCTAGCATTCAGCATCCTGGATCCCCACTTCTCTGGGTAGGGGGAATCAAACATTCACAAACAACGGCTATATCCGCCTTTCAAGTGCTCATAGTACACGTGGAGAGATAATGAGTAAAAACCGACAGTAACACCCGCGTCACGTGTGAATTCCGATACAGCGTTAGCGCAATGATTGTTTTCTACTCTCTTAAGGGCTACGATAGGGATTAAAGTTATCTTTTAACCTGATTACCCAACAGAGCAGACGCCATCTAACCGGGCAGATGCGGCGAAGATGAGCTCTCTTGAGAGTACCAGGCAGGGAGAGGACCTCTTGCAACAGTATCATCATCCAAAACCACCAGCAGGTGGCGCCAATTTGCCACCGAGACTTGGCGGCTCCAGTCCGTGCAACTTCAAGGCGAGCACCAGGATTAGACGCTGCGTGGCTCCCTGGAGAAGGGCTCTGCCTTCTGCTTTCTGCTGACAGGGTAGAAACTCCCCAGGAGTTGGGGTATGATACCCCCAACCCCACCCCTCCTTAAGGATGTGAGATCTCAAAGTAGAGATTCTCTGGGAAGTTCGGAGAGGCAGCAAGCTTTGCAGAAGTCAGCCCACAGCAGCCTAGGTGGTGTCAAGACTGTCAAGGGACTAGGGGACCTGAGTATGCAAAGGTGGCTGGACGAGGGCTGGCAGAGTGGAGGCGCCTTTGAGGTCTGGGCCAGAAGTGCATGTACCAAAACTGGGAAGTGTGGGAAACAGGCCATTAAACTAATGTCGGCTTCGTCTATGGCAGGTGACAGGCCTGGGAGGGGAAGATGATGTATATCTCAAGGGATGTCAAAGTGGGCAGATATTGGCCACAGAACATTCAGATGAACCTCCCTTAATGCTACAAAGGTTCCCCCTTACTTAGATGCAGGCACCTGCCAGAGGGTGGGAAGGGAGAAAACCATAACTGAAAATCTTGAAAAGCTAGAAATGAGTTTGCCTCGAAGTGACTAATATTTGTGTGGTTGGAGGATTTAAATTTTTAATAGCTGGTAGGAGTAATAGTCAAAATACAGGAAAAATTTTGTAATAGAAAAGGAAGGTTATATTTTGTTCTAGCAAACCTGAATCTGTGGCCCATGAAATGCTTGTCAGATACAAATATTGATAAAAATTGATTGTATATAAGAAATCTTAAAAATTTCCCAAAGCAGAAATTGTGCCTTTTGTAGCCCCATTGTAAAAAATAAATATGTCAAAGCAAAACAAGAAAGCTTAGGCATTTGGAAATCATAAAAGGGGGGAAATTATCCTAAATAACCCTAGAGTCATGGAGAAGTCAGGATTATAATATCAAATTATTTAGAGAAAGAATAAGTAAGAAAATACAACATACCAAGTCTAAGATATATGGACAAAGCTGTGGTTTCAGATATAAATTCACAGCTTTAAATGCTTTTGTTAGCTAAAAGAAAGAATTAACTAAATATTCTACTTAGAACTTCAGAAAAACAAACAGTTCTTTAAAAAGGAATAAAATAACTATGAAAACAAACTAATTAGAAAAAAGAACAGAGTTATTTTTTAAAAACTAGGGGACAAACTATGAATTAAAGAGAAAATGCAAAATTCACACCTCTTAGCACTTAGTCATCTGTCTCAGCAGAAGGTCCCTTCCTCCCTCCAGTTTGCCCAGTGTGCCCCTCCAAGGAGAGTCACAATATACCCTTCCTTGAAGGTGCTAGCTCATCGCACAAGATCTAAAGTAACTTTTAAAATCCTGAAGTGCCCATACCTACAGAGCCCAGAAGAGATAGGGGAACGGTCCTCCTTGAGGATGAGAGCAAGACGATGTGAGTGACTCTGACCCATGGAAAATGCTTACACCTGTGTGTGTGTGTGTCTGTACAAGGGAGGATGTGTGTTGTTTTCTTTCAATCTAAGAAATATTCTCAACTGTTGAATCTTAGTCTCAGAATCCAATCCCAACAGAGGAGTACATATTTTATGCATTCCACATACATTATAAACCAAAGTGATGGGTGCATTATAAACAAAAGATTTTGAATAATTCAAATTGTGCTCCCAACATTTCAAAAAGAAGAAAAGGCTTCCAGGAGGGAACTACCCCGATTTCAATCCTCTTTGTCCACCTCTTTCATTCATCTGTAATAACTGACCACCATATACCAGGGATTCAGGGACAGTCATTATTTCAGTCAACTTCTCACTGTGTGGGAGGTACCATTACTATTCCCACTCAGTCGTAGGGCTCACAGATGGATTACAGCGACTTGTCTTGCACTACACAGCTAGCCCAATGCAGAGCCTAAATCAGCTTAGTGTAGCTTCCAAGACACTGTTCTTATCATTATGCTATGAAAAGCATTACAAATACTTTTATAATGAAAGTATTTTTAAGTATTTCTAAAGTACTTCTTTCTCCCATGCTTTTAAAAGTATCTTTTCTCTGTTCTGGTTGTATGCACGTAAAAAATAATACGTATGCCTGCCTTGGTCTTTTTTGGCCCTAGGTATGACCTGAATCAGAAGCCCAGTGTAACCCAGGACCTGGGACACTGTGTGTGGTATGACTGCCATAAGGTGGTAGCAGAATCTGAGGCTTTTCTACTGAAATAAAGTCCAGACTCCTTGCCTTGCAAGAATCTGCCCAGGTCAAGGAGCCCTCCTTATTCTCATAACCTTTTGGTCTCTAGTCTGGCCTCAGAATCTGCTTTTCATCATTCTGCAATGCTGCTTCTCATAAGTGAGCACACAACATGGGCTTGCCTTAAAACACCACTTTTGTTAACACACAGATAATTTTCTGTACTTGAACCCTATTCAGGCTATAACTTACATGAAACAACTACCCTTATACTAAGTGTTGTAGAAATTTAGTTTTGCAAAGTGTTTATTTTGACTTGTTAATACCGTAAGATTTTCCTGATTTGCCATCACATCGTGTTTCCTAAACTTTGGCATCTAGCCTCAAGCAAAATCCATGGACTCTCAGATCTAGCTAAATCTGAGGGTCGGAAGAACCTCCCAAGTGTGAGAAGGCTGAAGGACTCCTGGAGCTGCCCTGGCTTTGCTGAGGTTTGGTAGACTTGACTCTATCCACTGTTATCATCTGCTCTTCTGAGACCTGGCATGAGTTTGTAGTGGTATATGCCTTTTCTTTTCTTTCTTTTTTTTTTTTATTAAGCTTTCATTAATATACACTCTTATGAAGGTTTCACATGAATAACATTGTGGTTACTACATTCACCCATACTATCAAGTCCCCCATGTAGTCACTGTCCATCCATGTAGTAAGATGCCAGAGTCACTACTTGTCTTCTCTGTGCTACACTGTCTTCCCCATGAACCCCCCACACCATGAGTGCCAATCATAATGCCCCCCAATCCCCTTCTCCCTCCCTCCCCACCTGCCCTTCCCCACTCCTCCCCTTTGG